GAACAAGAGAAGCTATGGAGGACAAAGCTGCTGACATGGGTGTTGAGGTGGCAGCCCTCAAAACCTTTTACAAGTCCAACCGTACCCAGATGAACCGCCTTAAGAGGACTGTGAGGAAGTCCGGTGAGGGTGCTGAGACAGTCGAGGACCTGTCTGCCACGGACAAGTGGGTGTGGGAGAAGTTCTCCTTCCTCAAAGACCACATCGAAACTGTGGAACGCAGAAATGTGGTGAGCATCCGTGGTAGAGGTAGAGGGAGGGGAACACCAGCAACAGCCACAGCTACGGGGCCAGCAGTACCCCCACCAACAGCAGTCATCACCCAGTCAGACTCTGGGTCAGAGTCCCCATCTACAGAACCCCCCTCTCGGAGACTCTCCACAAAGAGTGTTGACTTGAAGCGAAGTCTGATGGACTTTATGTCTGGAAAGAAAGGTGGTCCCTCCGCCTTTGCCAGACATATAGATGAGGGTCTGGCACAGCTTCCTGGGGACATCAAACGAGCCACACAGATCAAACTCATGGCAGTGCTACACGAGGGACAGAGGCAGGCTGAAGAGTGCCAGGAGATGTTCCAGCAGATGCCCACCTTCCCACAGCAGCAGCAGCAACAGGTCGCCCAAATCCAGCCAATCCAGCCACAACTTCAGTCGTACCTACCAAGCTCCACCAGCAGGCAGTACCCCCCAAAAACGGTGTCCCAGAGTCACCAGTGGCAGCCTCCACCATCACAATGGTCGACCCAGCAGATGACAGGTCAACAGCCCACCAGTTTCTGGGGCTCCCAAGACTATCATTACATGAGCAGCCAGTACCCTGCCCTGTACCCACAACCATCAACACAACCATCAATGAGCTCTACCAACATCCTGGACCTGGACACGGGGGCAACTAGAGCCATGACACACCTAGCAAGGTCATCACCTTCACTAACAGCTACCAGCTCCCAAGGTTATACTGCTGCTGCTGCTGACAAGACCACAGACTCCCTGAACCTGAGTGGTTTGGGGATAACCACCAGGCCACCATCTCCTGTGACCCCTCTGGGAACTCCTCAACCTCCACCTGAAGATGATGATACAACCGAGAAGTAAATGTGACATTGACACTAGTGAATATTGACACACTGAAATGTTGATATCGAATAGTGATCTCAATTGTCTATATTCGAAAAGCATGTTTGCTTGAACCACATATATATATATATATATATATATATATATATATATATATATATATATATATATATATATATATATCACTTTAAAAATTCTTTGCATGTACACATCACAATACATCAAACATGGTGTCAAAAATCTGACTTTTCATTGAAATTGTCGTTTATTGAAACCCAACTCAGGATGAATATTCTGAATACGACTTCCTTATTTGTCATATTTCATATGAATAAATTAAATGTTCTGACCAGTGGCTATTCATACATTTATGTTCACCTATAACAAACAAAAAGAAGTCCATTTTCTGGAGAATGTTTCTCTTTTGCATCATCTCATAGAACATAATTAACCCCTTTTCATACAATGATCATTGTTTAGATACATACTTCTGTACTTCTGTTACAGTTTGATGAATACATTAATGTGTATTATTTTTCTATATAAAAATATAAACAAAATTATTTCTTTACTTTCAATTTTGTGGAAAATGTTTCTCCACTGTCTTGTATCATCTCATAGAACATAATTAACACTTTTGCATACAATAGTCATTGTTTAGATACATACTTTTGTTACACTAGTTTGATGAATAAATCAATGTGTTTTCTTTTTCTTTTATAAAAAAAAATATAAACAAAATTATTTCTTAACTTTCAGTTTTGTGGAAAATGTTTCTCCACTGTCTTGCATCATCTCATAGAACATAATTAACCCTTTTTCATACAATGGTCATTGTTTAGATACTGTATGATGTAGTCAACTGATACTTGAATTACCTATATGTGACATTTGAATTACCTATGAACGACATGATACTGTAATTGACCCGAGATTATGCAACAATTTATATTGTGTGGATAGTTGACTTCGCTATGGGGATGTTATTCACCTATCAGGAGATTGTTCTGGCTAAGTGGACTTTTGAATACCCTATTAAAAAACAAACAAATGTATTGTGTGGATATTTGACTTGGGTATGGACATCTTATTTACCTAGTAGGATATTGGTCTTGCTAAGTGGACTTTTGATTTCCCTAACGACATTTGATTTACCTAATATGACAGTTGCTTTGATATTGTGGACATTTGACCTGGAAAACCTATATTATGATATTTGTATGCATGATTTGTAAACACTGATAATATTAAATGTTTGCTCCCATAATATTGCATGTATGACTTGTGAACAGTGATAACATTAATGATTACGTTGATAACTTTGCATGTATGATTTCTAAATAGTGATAATATTTTTTTTTGTTTGGTTAAGTTTGTTGCTTTTTGTACATATTGATAACATGTTTCTTAATAATAAAAGAAAA